CCGGCCGATGCAATATGTTTTATTTTGGTTCGATTTTTTCTCTCTGGCAAAGAAACAGGCTCACACACACACACACACACACACACACAAAAAAAATGCCGATAACAAAAAACATTTCACTCAACAAGCTCCAACATCTGGTTGCCTGTCAGTAACTGTAGTCATATGATCCGTATTATTTTTGCTTTCTCATATTTTAAAAATACGTTATTTACATTGGCAGAGTTAGAGGGGGGGGGGGGGGTGAACCCTCCTTCAGTTTCTGAAAAATATATCACACCAATATTCCCCTCTTGAAATTAGAATTTTGACTCGCAAAATTATAGTTCTAAACCGTACCAAACGGCACTGTTTGCTCTCCAAAACACACACACACACACACACACACACACACACATACACACACACGCAAAAAAAAAAAAGAAAAAAAATGTGCCCTTGAGCAAGCCCCGAACACCACCCCAAGGGGGCATTGGTCGGCTTATCATCTGAGGCCTGTAGTTCCGGACCCACCCTTCAAATAATCCTGGTTCCACCTCTGTATTTACATTATGTTATTTACGTATATTTCAAAATAGTTTTTAACAAGCGTAAACTTGTCTTTCTTAGTTTCATGAGTAGGTTTTTTTTGTTAAGATAACGAAGTCTTTCATTTCATACAATAAATCATTTCTTTAAAATAAAAGTCCTGAAATGATGTAGACCGCGTTAACTGTTGCGCTGTCGAGACGGTCAGATTTTTAAGTTAACATTGACGGGTATCTAATTTTTTTGGCGGTAGACGGTCAAAAATGTAGGATGGATCAACAAAGATAATTTGGAAGACTGTCAGAAAATATCTCTGGATCCGCCCCTGGGGGGGGGGGGGAGGGGGGCATACGCCACTTATCTAGTCACGATCGTCTTCAGAGTTGGATGCGTGTGTGGGAGTGGAGAGAAGGGACGTCCATTTTTATGCAGCGTGAATATACTCATATGGGAATCAATAATAAAATTTAATATTCTAACAGTTAAAACATTTTTCAGTTCCACGAGAAGTATATGATTAAATGTTCCCCTGAAAATATGCATTTATTGCTACAATAATTTTATTTCTTATGGGTATTATTGCTAATCAACTGAAAAAATATAGGCATCATGAGGTAAATATCCAGTCATTTTGAAAGAATTCTCCACTCCAACTGCACCCCATCTTCTGCCTCTTTGGATGAATCATCTCCGACTTTCACAATCAAAGGGTGCATGCCCAGAGATTTAGATCGATCCAGAGATTTAGATTTAGATGGACCTAACTCCTTGGGGGTTCACGCTAAATTGCAGTCAGCCGAGCGCGCACCATAGTTAATTACCCCCTTACAGCTTTTAGTAGGCGGGACAGACGCTTAAGCTGGCTAAGCTGACAGTAAACTAATGAGACTCCCCACAGGGATAGATCGATCTAAAATCTATGGGAATGGGGTCAAAGAGATAGAAATCTATTTGTAGTATCAGGGATGGATCCAGGACAATTTGTAGGGGGTCCATTTATTTATTTATTATTTTCTTATTATTTTTTTAAGAATGACAGGTCACGGATGCGTAGCCGACCCTCGTCCTCTTAGCGCGGGGTTCGTGGACTGCTCAAGGGCCTTGAAAAAAAAATTGTTTTTGAGTTTAGACGGTGCCATTTGTTACGGTTTAGATCAATGATTCAATTTGTAAAAATTACAATTTCAAAATGTGAATTTTGCTCTGATATTTTTCCCCCGAAACATAAGTGTGTGTTCTGACGGAGAGCATAGGTCAAGGCACGGAAATCAGTTTTCAGGGGTGATGGGTTGGGCTACATTTTCTACTTTACTGATTTACATGAGCAAATTCCCAATCATTTTATAATATCTAATTATATTAAATCCACAAAATTATACCCTTCCTATATAAAGTGTTCATTTTAAAAACTTGTTGCATATACAGCATATCGCGGGAACATTTGCATTCCCTCAAACGAAATTACATGTCGTCTGCAGCTCACTCGCGCTATGGTTTCAAAAATTAAAATAGAATAAGAAACGATTATTCCAAAATAACTTGAGCAATGTCGCGTAGGACATCTTTTGTTTAGAAGCCTTATGCAATGCATGTTCATTGTTCAGGATGTACTGAACAAGTAAAACTAATACCTGTGCCGGTTATTGCATTCATCACGCACATCAGTGCATGGCAAAGATAGACCTATATGTCTGTGTGTATCTGTAAATATGTAAATCGCTGCGTCCCACAAAATTGGTTTACTCATGTTTAAAATATTGTGATATGTTATACAGTTTGATGGGATGCCTAACCTTTGGACATAATAAGAGAATATTTTTATGTCCAAGGCTAACCGGACCCAGTGTTTGAGCTAAATTTGAAGATAACACCGAAGGAGGTCGAAGGTAGGAGTCTCGTGTAAGTTATAAAGCAATATCGTAATCGCATCGGTGGTTCAGTGGTAGAATGCTCGCCTGCCACGCGGGCGGCCCGGGTTCGATTCCCGGCCGATGCAATGTTCGTTTTCATTTACAGATCTTTTATCTTTATTATATAGTAAACCAATGGATATTTCACAGGATTGCATTTGTCTACATTTGTGAATGTAAAACAAAAATAATGAACAATAAAATAGAATAAAAAATACGTATTGGAAAAAACTTAAATCTTGCCTTTCGTTCACTATGCATTTTATTCAATATTACACCCCATTTCCATAGATTAGATCGACCTACTTTAGATCGACTAACACCCTGGGGGTTCACGCTAAATAGCTGTCAGCCGGGCGGACACGAAAGTTAATTACCTCCTTACAGCTTGTAGTAGGCGGGGCGGACATTTAAGTCGGATTATCTGAAAGTAATCTAGTGAGACTCCCCGCGGGGATAGATCGATCTTAAATCTATGGGAATAGAGCCTAAGTGAACTTCACATAAATGATACCTCAACAAGAGTTGAGGGTCTAAGTCACATACTATACGCTAACGACCTATTCTTACTCTTACAAACAAAAGAAGGACTACAGACCCTGCTCAACAAACTTGAAAAGTACTGTATGAAATGGAAATGAGGTATACCAGCCCGCTTGGCGCCAGGTGTCGCTAGTGTGAATTCAGTCCTTCCACAGTCGCCATGTTGGATATCATATACGTTGGACTGTGGCACTGGCCTTAATAAACATGCCTCAGTATTGTTGTGTAACTGAATGTCAAAGTCGGCAAGGTGGGCATAATTTTCCTGAGGATTCAGGGCTTCGTTTGAAGTGAAGGGTTGCCCATGTCAACACACCTTCCATGTTAAAAGGACAGTTACAACTTGACCCAGGCACAGTAATTAGGCCCCTAAAGATAGATGAGTTGCCTCAAAAAGAATACACGTAGAAGGGTTAATTGATCTTGGAAAAACTTATAAAGTTTTGGAAAGAGAGCTCCATAGCAAGAAAGTGCCCCTAGGAAGTATGATTTATCAAAGTGCGTTTTCTTATGTCCGTAATTTCAGAAGAGTTGTCAGTAAATATATATAAGTGCCGGTAGCCTACTACCCGCATAAGGTTGTGTTATTAAGTAATATCCTTTTTTATTGATGTATTGAGCATGACCGGTAATGTTAATTAAATAATTATTTTTATTTAAAATCATTATTCAGTACCTCGTAAGAATCATAAAACTAGGTATAGTTAGATAATTTATTTGTTCATGTATAGATGCAATTTCTCAGCCAATGGAATAATGCATGTTTGGAAATCTTTTTGTAACAGTTTAAGAAATAAAATTTAAAGAAAGAAAACATTTTATAAATGAACAGTTTTTATTCTTTTTTTACAAAATAGCACTTCTGAATTGTTTTACTTGAGTAGAAACACCATATTATTTCATCGCTCTGAAAATTCATTAAAAAGCAGCAAAACCAAATGTTTTATTTAAACAAAATAATTATTCAGTCCATAGTAAAAACCATGAAACCATGTAATACTTAGATAATTTATTTGTGCTATAACTTTCCTGATTATATAGCTGCAATTTCTCAGCCAATGGATTACTGTAGGTATGGAAAACTTTTTGTAACAGTTTAAGAAATAAAAATTAAAGAAAGCAAACATTTTACAAATGAACAGTTTTTTTGTTCCTTTTTACAAAATAGTACTTATGAATTATTTTACTTGAATAGAACCACCACATTATGTCAGCACTTTGAAAATTCTTTTAAAAGCAGAAAAACCAAATTATTTGCTGTAAATACAACTATCAAATTATTTCATCCCACCAAAAATACTTTACAAAATAGCAACATAGCTTTTTTCTCATTACAGTTAAATATTATTAAAAACAGCATAAACACATAAGTACTTTTTGTAAAGAATATAGCAACACCAAATTATTTCATTTTAGTTAAAAATTTTTTTTTAAATGGCACTTCAAAATTGTGATTGCAGCTAAAACCATCTCATACAGGGGTACTTTCTATAAACTAGCTGACACGTACTTCCTATAGTGTTTTTCATTAAAAAAAGTTATCCTCGGCAAAATACATGTAGAAAAATATCCAGTGTCAGAATGAATCAACCCCACAAACAGATCTTTGAATGTAAACACAACAAAATAGCAGAATGGGCGATTCGTAATGAACATCTGGCCTTCTAACTGAGTAAAGTATTTGCAGGTTTTCTTTAGGCCCAGATTTGTGCACGAGATACACATTCCAAAAGGGGAAATCAGGTCCGGGTCCAACTGTCATGTGTCTGCAATGGTTTTGGACACAACAATGATTCATACAGTTTGTTTATATACTTCTTCTCTGTAGCTGCAATTATCTCTCCAAATCTTGAGGCAGTGATCCGCCATTGTCTCTCCTTGTGTCAGATTGCGCTCTTTCCTTGTTATAACTTGCTTACTCAGTGTCCTTCGCTGTTTGTTCCTCAACCTGAAATATTCATATCCCATTAAAGCATGGTAGATGGTTACAGCATTAAATAGATACAATTTAGATTAGTTTAGATACAATATTATAATTCTATGATGTCACCTATCACCTAGTTTGATAATTCTTTCTCATATTTGGGCCCGATTCTTAATAGTAGACCTCTGTTTTCACTTACATCATTCCCTCTATCCATGCTTTATTCTTTTCATGGCACTTGGCAATAGTTGTTGTCCATCACAGCCGCCTGTAAGTCAGCTTTAGGGTAGGCATTACTGGTGGCTACATCAATCTTTGCCGCTGATGTGAAGTGATAGGTAAGATTCCTGAAGTAATCATTTTATCCTGCTCTTGAAGTTGGCTGTCCTGGGGTCCTGAAATCGACAGTTTCAGGCTTTGCCCCCGATATATGGGCCTTCTTTGGGTAACCTTATAAAGAAAATAAATAAGTACATTTACTAAGTATAAAAATCTTTCGTGCTACTAAAACAAAATATGAGCGTAGGCCTACTCGTACCTACAGTAGTCTACATGTACATGTACATAACATGTCAGATTTGACACACACACCTCGACTAATTTTTGATTTTTTCAAGGAAAATAGTTAGCATTCGTGTTTTTCAAGCACTAAATGAAAAGAAAACACATACCTTCCAGTCAATTCACATTTTCATCCAGATGTTATGGCACCACATTCAAGTAAATTGCGTTTGAGTTGGTTCACTGTCAGCGACGCGTGCACACGCTCCATGTTAAACTCTGGTGTAAAGCCGTGAGCGAGATTCTGCGAGATTTTAGAAGGACTGCTTTCACCCCACGCCATGCCCATCTAGCGGCAGACCCTTAAAGCGGGTATTCCCCATTGAAGGTAAATGAAAATAAATCTAAAGTTATGGTATTCAATAAGCTTGAGAAAATTGACCCACATACGTTTACCATAAATAATAGACCTATGGAAACAGTTAAGCAGTTCTCATACTTGGGAATAATTTTTACAAACACAGGATCCTTAAAACAGACAATGGAAAACCTCAAACAAAAGGCCCTCAAAGCTATGTTTTCATTAAAAGGGATGCTAAATTCTCAAGAAATTTCTTCACCCCTACTAACCATGAAACTTTTTGACCAAATGATAAAACCGATCCTGCTATATGGCTGTGAAGTCTGGGCACAAGAGATATTTATAGACAAAAAAATGACACTACACAAATTGAATAAGATGCCATTCGAACAGATACATTAAAAAATGTGTAAATGGACACTAGGTCTCAGAAAAACTTCCGGTAATAATGCTTGTAGGGCAGAACTTGGACGCCTTCCACTGTATTTGGACATTGTAACTTTGGTGTCCAAATACAGTGCAAGACTGGACAACCTTTCAACTCACAGACTAGTCTAACAAGCTTACGACATGGAAAAAACAGAAAAGGAAAAGAACTGGTTTTGGGCCACTACAAATCTTTCGGCATGTTGGGAAGTATACCACCCAAATAACAACACACATACTAAAATCCACAACCAGCAATATCTAAAGGAAGAAATAATAAAAAAAAAATAAAGTCAAATTTTTGGGAAGAATTGCAAAAAGGAGAAAACAATAAACTCAGAACATATGGAAAAACTAAGCACACTTACGAAGCTGAACCTTATGTAAAACTCAATGTTTCTTTAGCTCAAAAGAAGCATTAGCAAAAATGAGGATCAGTGATCATGAATTAGAAATTGAAAGAGGGCGATATACAAAACCAAAGAAACCAATTGACAAAAGGAAATGTCCCCACTGCGACTCAATAGAAGATGAAGCACACTTTTTTCTAGAATGCAGTGAACACAGAGTCGAACGGGAAATACTGTTCGCTCCCATACCGGAGGTGAATTTGCAGGGTCCAACAGACAATAAACCATCTATTTTACTCAATCCACTCTCTGCGCAGAGTGTGATTGCCATATGTAAATTTGTAAACAGTGCAATTAAAAGCGTGTATCCCTGCGTGGATGAGCATAGTTTAATAATTAAATTATTCTTATAATGTTTGTATTAGTTAGAGAGCCTGTAAATGTAAACCATTTCTTTGAGCTCAATAAATTATTATTATTATAATATATTTCAAAAGTACTAATTAACAGACCTTGTTTTGTGCTCTTAAACCTGAAAAAGAAAATGCTTACTTATAAACCACATATGATATTTCATATTTCCATTAATTTTGGAAACTTTTTTATCTCTTTGAAATCTTCCAATTCGAAATACTAATGTTTGTTTGCCCTCCCGCTGATAACTTCGTTTGCAGCGTCATTTAGATTGTGCTTGCGCCGGTCTCTTTACAGAGATGAACTTCACTTCCGGCCAGTTTATTACTCAAGGCAATCTGATTTGCATATAAGAGAAAAATAGTTTTTTCTTAGTTTTGAGTTGTGTACACATTTCCCATTATCCTTCAAAAAAAAAAAAAAAAAAAAAAAAAATGTGCCTTACGCTAAAAACTTTTGCAAGATTTGATCGGGGGGGGGGGGGTTAACTGCATGGATACATACATATGGGAATGAATAGTAAAATTTAATATTCTAGCAGTTAAAATATTTTTGAAGTACCACGAGAAGAAATATTTGATGGAATGTTTACTTGTAAATATGTTTTTATTATACTTATACATTATACGGGTAATACTGCAAATCAACTGAAAAAAATACAAGCATCATGAGGTAAATATCCCGTCTTGTAGAAGGAATTGTGAATTCCATATACATCCAATCCTCTGACATATTCCACGAGTTTCTCTGTCATACAAATGAAATATATAGACATATTTTTCTTTGTTCAAATAGACCGCGTTAATAACCAGAAAGCGCAGTAGTAAGCGTTCTGACGGAGAGTATAGGTCACAAAGTTCACGGAACGGAAATGGATTTCAAGGGGAGATGGGTTGGGCCTTTTGCCTGCTACATTTTCTACTTTACTGATTTAAATCAGAAAATGCCGATGTATGTAGTTACATTAAAGTCACAAAATGAATTCACTCCAGTAGAAAGTAAATATTCTAAAATCCTTTTGCAAATACAACATCTGGCGGGAACACCTGCCTCCCCTCAAATGAAAGTAGAGTGTCGTCTGCAGCGCACACCTGTCGCACTGCAATGCGGTGAAATGTAACAGTGTTGCAAGCTTGAAATCCCTTCTTTGATGCATCAACAAATTAATCATTTTGTTCATGTTTGATGTGTATATTATTAAGGATATTAAAATGTTTAATTTTTATTTAATTCAATGTTGTTGTTGGACCTATAATAATTTGGTTGATTCGGCAGGTAAAATGCAAAAATGATGACGAGCAAAGTATTTTTGAATTTTTGACCTTGCGGGGAGGGGGGGGGGGGTCTTCGAAACATATAAAATTCCTTATTCAGAATTTTTCTCTCCCCAATTACCATGTGAATAACCATTCGAATAAAATGAGGTCATAGGCGTAGGAGCAGAGGGCCCTGATGACTTTTATTACCGCCCTCCCTCAAAGGCCTAAGTACAGGGAAGTTTATTTCCTTATTCTTTCAATCACCAGTGTCACGCACAAATAAAATCAGTGAAGCATACATTAGACATCAGACAAGCAAATTCTTACTACATTAACATAATTTTTCCATTACCCCCTCAACCCGTTTATTTATTTATTTATTTATTTATTTATTTATTTATTTATTTATATCTAACAGAAATCTCCACCGCAACTTGCAACGTTATCGTCCAATACCAGTATATCAAGTGCCACTGTATTGTACGACATTTTCCGTCGTTATGCGGGTCAGTCAAGGAAAGCAAACCCCCAACAGAGTTTATAATAATAATAATAATAATAATAATAATAATAATAATAATAATAATAATAAAGTTAAATAATGTTCAGAGTTTGTCCTGATCATGATATGCGTTTGTCTCTTACACTCATTTATCAGTTTTATCAACAAATCTTTATTATCGCAGATAAAACACGGTAGATAAAAACGTGAACTACCTTTATCTACGAGTATTTTTAGGTCTTCGGTAATACTTAAATTTAACTTTAGCCCTACGATACAGGTGCTGTTCAATGAGTTAATGCAACGTCAGCATAGATCAGATCGAGGCTCGGAGCTTCCTCCCGAGGAGAGAGATGCGGCTCCAGACGCTAGTCATCTGTGTCATACTCACGATTTTGTGTAAGTATTTTGATACTGAAACAAGATGCCATAAAAGTCAATAACCTGTGATTTTGCCATTCGCTTCTTTAATCATTTTATCGCTGGGTGCACTTGTTTTCCACCTAGGAGAATCAGATAACCCGTCCTAGATACAGTTTTGGAAGAACTTTGCGCGAATAATTATTGACAACGGTTCAACTTGTGTTTAGTTTCGATATAAACACTAATATATCAATATTAAAAATATTTTATCTGCTGTAGTATGAAAAACGCTACAGTGAATCACGAAAGGCATCCACAGCGCCAGGTACGGTGTTACAGTTAGGCCTTATGAATGTTGTGTGGCTGTTGGCAGCAACTAATGCCGTCATGTCAGACTAAAATGGGCTGTGTAGGGGGATAAAAATATATACCTACCTGGAAAATCAACACTTGTCCTTGCTTTTATTTCAAATTTTTTTATTTCAAAATTGGCATCGTTTTTATTTCTTACCAACAGAGCGTGTAGTTAACGGGGCATGTTGTTTCAACGTACCGCATAACATACAAGCACAAAGTCTGGCTGAGATCCAGCAAACCTGAATTGTTATTTTGGACGATATCTTACGTTAAATATAGAAACTGGGAAATTGCAGTGCACAGGTATATGTGTAGTGAGTGTACATGCGTCTGCCTAATCTACCTTTTATTTTATTTTGTACATTTGCACGTGCACGCACGTGCTTGCCGGTGAGCGCATGCGTTCCCGTGTGATTTACATGTAACTGTCATAATTATTAAATTTCCTTTTATATACCCGTGCCTTTAATTTGTCATTTCTTTTTTTTTTCTTCTGTTTCAGTGCTTCATTTGAATGGACAGCATGTTGTGGAGGCGGGTCTGGGGAAGGTGGTCCAGAAAGGTTTCCAAAAGTTAGAGAAAACCGTGAGGAAAAATGCGGGGAAGTTCATTGATAAAACCGTCGACATGACGGCAAAGATAGTCAAGAAGACAATTAGGAAGAGTCTAGAATTGTAATTTTTTTCTTTAAATTTCATTTTCATTACTCTAAATGACAAAAGTCGTAATAATTTTTGATCGAACGCTGACAACGCTGTTGATTTTACCGTTACTTAATTTTGCCCCTTCGAACCACCACTTTGAGCCAGATGCCGTGTTTTAACTTTTTTCGGACTTTGACACGATTGTCTTGAGAAAAATGCACTATTTTCTCGGGCTCTGGAAAGGAGATCTTCCACAGACTGTTGCGACCATTCTAAGAAATTCATATAACCATCTTCCCTGAAGGACAAGTAAAGAAAGAAACTTGTGATAATAGAAACTAGTGATCTGGAGCCGTAGATGTTTTTATAAAGAACAGTAATGATTGTAACATTTCGCACCAGTCTTCAAGGAGCATCTTTCTCACTGAAAATAACACTGGAAGAAGGCGGGAGAGGAGGGGGGTATGCTGGATTCACAGAAACATGTAATTGGTGACCTTGAATATCATATACGTGTTAACGTCAGCACACCCTGGGTGTCACAGAGCGAAGAGTGTCTAACCCAACTCCAGTATAGCAGCACCCCCTCCTCCCTCAGGGTACCAGTCTCCGTGGCAAAACCTTTTTTAAATAGTGTCTAAACTCCAAATATAAGAGGAATGTTACAAGAATTAAGCCTCACAAGTTAAAAAGGGAAACGCAGCACAAGGACGAAGAAAACCGATTTAACTCTCGCACCGCCTCGATCACGACAGGAAGTTGAAGACTCCGCCTTACCCGAACATTATTGGACCTGGGGATTTGTTGCGCAATGATTTAACTTTTTCGTGTTCATTAATTTGGGCTGATAGCAAAGAATAAACAGTTCTGATATTTCAAGTAATAGGGTCATAAATTATGCGGAAACTTCAAAGTGAAAACATTCTTTTAATGGTAAAATAAATGACAGTCCAACCATGATTATGTAAATTAATGCTGTTCACTGCGATAAATATAAGTGATATCAAAAAAGTTAAATGAAACAAACAAGTAGTTATAGACCTACTACGTATATATACCAAGCACATAAAAGACTGGACAAGCACGTAAATGTAGAATCAAAATAAAATAAAAATTGTTTATCGTATTGATACGGTTTTAGTATTGATTTGTATAACGGTAGTGGTACTGAAACTTCATTGTGAGTAATAAATCAACAAAAACTTGAATCAAAGCGGATCCTCAACAGGCACAACGACTGCCCTAGTGAAAAATGTGTCGATTTTCCTTATCCAGTTTTCGAGTGTTTTTTTTTTTTCAAATAAAAATGTGCATTTCAGCTTTCCAAGATTACCTCGCCCCACATCTATGCCACCTCTCGCTTTTGTAAGTCTCTTTTTTTAAAGTTATTTTGAATTGTTCAATCTCAGTTTACATGGCAAGCCAACGTCATAAAGCTATTTATAATTTAGACCAAACAAATCTAACCCAATTTTTAGGAAAAATTTTCCCTTTTTTTCTCAAATAAAAATAAATTGGATTTTGATTTGAAAGGTGAAAAAAATTATGCAGGGTACCCATAGGATTTGTCTTCTCCTCCATCCTAAAAAGGAACATAAAATGAAAAGTCACCCGACCATGTAAGATAAGAAATCTGCCTTTCATTTCCCAACAGCAGAAATTCTTGTTGCAGAATAAATGTTTATGTGTTGTTTGTTTGAAAACTGCTGTTGTTTGTTTGAAAACTGCTGTTGCAATTCAGCGCGTGATAAAAGGAAATACTATATGTAAAGAGTGAGAAACAAAAAATTAAAACTCGTATATAAAAGGAAAAACTACCAAATATTATTTTGCGGTATAATAATATAAATATACCCACCTCCTCCCTCGCTCTTTTATGTGCTCTTCCCACTATGACGAAGGTGAGGTTTATTTTTAGCTCTTCACTTTAAAATTAGGTTATGCTACGTCAGCATGCGAAAACGAGGCCGGGATTTACCTAGCGTGAAGAATGAGGACTGAGACGCTCATATTCTGTGTATTTATTGTCTTTCTTGGTAAGTATTAACTCACAATTAATTGATATACCCATTGTTCGCGTAGTAGCATGCTGCCTATATGTCTGAATCCCATTATGATTAACAGTAAGGCCGAGTATAATCGTATTCGTGTAGGCCTACATATATTTAGGGATTCTATAACCGGTCGGATACATATAACTTAGGGGTGTACTGGTACATGTATCATATTGCAGTAGTGCTGCGCTGTCTTACTCCTCGTCTAACATAAAACATTTATAAACTCTCCACAAATTGTGCCTTTAACAAAAATGTGGCGAAGGATTTCCTTGTGACGTACATGTACTGTACCTAGCATAGGCAACAACATGCTGAATCTCTGACCAGTCCTACAAAGACACGTTCCATTTCACTACTTTCATACAATATAGCGGCTTGTACTAATATGATCACCATGTGAAGAAATACGATTCAGGGCGGCGTGTTGGTAATATGATATGTATAGACACCTAGCTAATCCTGTGCCGAGTGTTTTACGCAGATAGCCGAAAGGATGGCTATATGACTGGGTGTTTGCTTTTAGTAATACGATAGTGTATATTCCGTTTATTAAAATGTTTTGACGAATTGTTTTAATTTTTTTTCACGAATTTTTCAGTAAAATATTGGGTTTAATTTTCTCTGCTGTCAATTATTTTTATAATTATTATTATTATTAATTTATTGCTGACGTAATCTCACACTCATGACAGCCTTTCTGATTCACTCTCTCTCTCTCTCTCTCTCTCTCTCTCTCTCTCTCTCTCTCTCTCTCTCTCTCCAGTTACCCAGGCAACAATTTACTTAGATTGATTAATGCCACATTTTTTTCTTTAATGTAACAGTGATAACTACGAACGAGGACCGCTTCGCTGAGGCAGGACTTGGAAAGGACTTAAAGAAAGCGGCGGAGAAGCTGGGAAAAGCGGTGAAGAAAAACGCTGAGAAATTCGTGGACAAAACCATTGACAAAACGGCGAAAAAGATGAAAAAGGCAGCCAAAAAGAAATTGGAATTATGATAGGAGGGTCTATGACTTGTATGCGTCACAAGTAGCAGTCAGAGACAATAAGGACAGATGGGGGAAAGTTACTGAAATATCCAGTAAATATTCCGGACTTTGGGATGGTAAAACCGAAGTGTGTGGAAAATGAAGGAAATACGCTATGCAAGACATCTTTGTAAACGTGTTGTCCATTAGACAAGTTCTAAAGAAATAACAGAAAAAGGAAAGAAGAAAAACATGATATGATATGGCATTTACAAGAAATGACGAGGAATTGGTTTCATGGAGGATAAAGAGTATTTATCATCCTTGAAAGAAAGTAGTGTTCAGATGGCTATATAAAAATAATGATGATAATAACAAATGCACCCACTAGTAACACACCGCACCAGATTTAGTAAATTAAATATACTTGAGAATTGACTTAGTACAAACAGTGATAATAATGATCAGAGAAAAAACTAATTAAGCGCACAAAACACGTTGTTGCACGTGAACTGTGATAAAAATACGTGATATTCTTCGTCCCCTTTTCAGCCTCTCGTGCTGTCTTATCAATACCCACAATTAAACCTGTTTTTATTTTATAAAGGATTCTTTTTTTAGTCCATGCCTGATAAAGCAAAGGGATAATGGCAACCATAATACAAAAAAGTGAATCTTTAAATGGGTTTATGAAGGAGAGAACAAAATAACAAATAACACCGCTCTGAGTATTTAATTTCATACCTGAGTAGCCGTTTAATCAATTCCAGATATTTTGTCATCTTTTTTATTTCCACGTTATTTATTTCCAATGAAAACATTGCTGCCATCTTCTTAAAAAGTAAAGCCGCTTTCAGAGCTGCTATAAAATATTCTTGCTAATAGGCCAATTTGGCAGTGCAGGAGAGGTTTTCTATGAACTCTCAGGCCCCATTCCTACAAACACCATCGGTCTACGTGGATCGACCCGACTCTCCCGGGACTCTCGCGGACTGCAATCAGCTTAACTGTATGACATTCTGGCGTAGATCTAAAGTAGAATACAGAAAAGCTGGTGATTATACGTTTACATTGGAAACAAGAGGAGGTGTGTCATTCAGATAAGCTGATTGCACTCAGCGTGAGTCCCTGCAGTGTCGGGTCGATCCACATCCAGTCCCTAATGTCTCCCTACAAACCAAGCCGTTGTTTCATATCCTCAATCAGTACAATCGTAAATATGATAGCAAAAACCACACCGACCAATTATCGGGACAACACAGATAAACAGTTCGACAGGCAGACAGGTGCATTAAAACCTTTGATGATATCATTCATATCACATTGTTATCCTTATTTTAATCATATATTGTTGAAATGATAAAGAGTGTGTATCACTTGGGATGAGGGGGGGGGGCTATTTAGTTCTTTTATAGATGTATACATCGGACATGTAGGCAAGGGAAGGGGGTCGAAGTACAGTACATTCATATTAATCAACTGCTTAATGCCTGTAAAGGTACAGGTACGCGGTTGTTTGGGAAATGGCACTAAAATAGCTCTCAATATTCTTGTTATCTTGCTCGTGGTTAAAAGTTTCATGTTTATCTGACATTAAATAACTAAAGCTGTGTTTTTTTCATATCAGATGGAATCGGCTGTGTTACACCCCATTTCCATAGATTTTTAAATCGATCTATCCCTGTGGGGAGTCTCACTAGATTACTGTCAGCTTGGCCGGCTTAAGCGTCTGTCCCGCCTACTAAAAGCTGTAAGGGGGTAATTAACTATGGTGCCCGCTCGGCTGACTGCAATTTAGCGTGAACCCCCAGGGAGTTAGGTCGATCTAAAACTTAATCTTTAGATCGATCTAAATCTCTGGGAAAGCACCCTTACATACGCTCATATAAGGATATCTGATTCGGCATCAAAGTGATGCGAAGTGTTTTGGTAGGGTTTTTTATTTGGATGCAAGTCAGAAAGTCTGTTCGGATTTTTTTTTTAGATATGCAGTTTTGCAAGATACGTAAGAAAATATTAGTTTTGGACAGTTTCAAACCCAGTGACATATACCTGTCTTATCAAGTCTACCGAGACCTAACATTTGTGAAAAGACATTTATTGAATATCAAACAAAGCTGAACTAGAATTGTTGAAACACTGAACATGTCCTACCCAAAAAGAATCGAACTGCAGTGGCTAAGTGCCGTTTGCAATGTATAATTATAATCTAAGGGTCTATTCCCACAACTTTAGATCGATCTATCACCGCGGGGAGTCTCACCAGACTACCGTCAGATAATCCCCCTTAAGTGTCCGTCCCCGCCCACTACAAGCCGTAAGGGGCAATTAACTTTCGTGTCCGCCCGGCTGACAGCTATTCAGCGCGAACCCCCAGGGAGTTAGGTCGATCCAAAGTAGGTCGATCTAATCTATGGAAATGGGGTGTAATACGTATATCTACAGGAATACTTTACATCAGAAAAAAACATCTTCCAGGGCCAGATTACGTCATAATAGGCCCCTGTGCTGCATGTATTATCATCACTTCTAAGCAAAAAGGGTTAGAAGTTACTCCATAAAGATTAACTGATATATGTTATGACATGACTTATGCTCCATTGTAAGTTACAAAACATGTTTTTTTATACATTTAAGTTGTCCTATTAACAGGTATATAACTTGTACTATTTAAAAGTTTGCAGTAACACTACCTGCTGTGGACTGTTAAAATAAGCTGTATACATAGGCTGAATTTTTCCTGCGGATAAAGTCCAGGATGAGATTCGCCGTTGCAATTTTTCTGTTTTTGCTTCTGACGACCCGCAATGCTGATTCGCAAAGTAAGTTGTTGAAATATTTTTAATACTCTGATGAAATCGGAACATTATCATGGTGCAGTGGCATCCAGTTTTCATCGTCACTCAAGCGATGGTCACGATTTTTAAACCCGTTAGTCGGTGTTTAATAGTTATACTTACAGCGAGCTAGCTTGTTCTTCACATTTCTCCAGTGAGGGAAATGTTTCCTTTATTCAACATTCATATCCTTTTAACGATCTTAACTATCATTCGCATTTGTATGAAAAATTAATTAGCTAGGGAGAGGTACCAGTAGATAGAAAAATGCGCTGAGACACACTGTGTTGAAAAGATGGAGAGCAGGGTGTGACGTCAGCTATCAAGAAGAATCCCAATAAAATACGCTATATTGGTCAGAGTACAAAGTTGAAAGGTAGTTAATGAATAAAACAGATCCCGTCGAAACAGTTTCGGTTGTGAAGTTTAAAATTCAGCAGTGAAACCACGGTTATTTCTCTGATAAATACATAAAAAAACAAAAACATTTAGCATAATTGATTAATTCACCTAATTTATTATTATTATTTTTTTCATTTTTATTTATTTTCACTTCTCTTGAAACGCTAGTGGCTCCGAAACCCGAGAAACCTGCAGACTCCGCTTCCGTAAGCACGTGCTGCTCGATGGGGAAGCGGTATATGGGCCCAGATTGCGGTCGGAGAGCTGCCAGGATTCCCGAACCCTGCAGAACCGACTTCCATCAGTGCTGCATGCAATACAGGGGGATTAACCTGCTTGGGGACGTGTACTTAAAATAATAGGTAAGCCAGGAATGTGAGAAGTTGGGGATTGAGGGTCGCTCCATTAGGATTCTCACACTCTGTTATGATTTTTTAAGTTAAAGTAATTTTTAAATTTTTAAAAGAGCCATGCAAGGCATTAAAGATTTAATTTGTCGG